GGTACTGCTCCCAAAACTGCAATGAACCAAGTCTGTCAGTGACAATAGAACATCTACATCAAGTTTCAACATATGTTGGTACATAAAGTTGTTGCTGAGCATTTAATGTGGCTGTTATTCTTTATCTCAATTCTCCATGAAGCAACATAAAAACTGATATTTGACTGTATGGAGGACACAATAATACTATCTTACATTTTTCCAACCTCCAAAACTCCCATTAAAGATCGTGACAGCAATTTTGTGTCATATTTTTATTACAACTGAAAGATAAAGGAAATAATTGCATTGTGACTGAACTCCACAAGATTTTATTAGCAAAGTGATTGCTTCTTTGCATGACTAATTTTGATTAAATCAGCTTCATTTGAATACCAAATTGTGTTCTTTGCTTTCCTTCATTAAGCTATGGTATTCCTGAACATTTGGAGCTCCATTTTTATATGGTAAAATAGCCTTTCTATGTTTTGTACAGACTGTTATTGACTGGAAAAGAGATACGACTGATAGCTAATTTATGGGAAAGGGTTAAAGTCACGTTTAGAAATCAACAGGAATAAAATAATTTTAAAATATGTATTTCTGAAGAATATGTGAACCATAAGGAGAGAATCTTGGTAAGAGGAAATCCTGTGTTACTTCATTTGCCACAGAAAGTAATAAATACTTGTGCTGCGTATGTAGAAGTGGAAAATTAGCTGCAAAAAATATTTTATTAGCCCACTAACTCCTGAAATTAGGAAAAAAAAATCTGTAACATCTCACAAAATATTTTACCTCATTTTCTTGAATGGAATACAGAAAATACTTCATTCTTTCATTGCAAGTAGCATTATGTTGATTTACAGTTATTTAAGGTATTTTATACAATTCTGGCAGAAGACAACATGAAACACGTTGTTCAGGTTGTAAACTATTCCCTTTGAATTTGTCTTCTGACAAATGAAAGGCTTTGGTTTAGCTGCTCCAATCTCCCTATGTTTGTGCATTCTCAAATAAGTCCTACTAACCACAAGGTTAGTAGGCAAACTTATTATCCTTGCATTCCTGAAGCAATCCAGCTGGGGATCCAGGCAACAACAACAAAGGCTTCCAATTCTGATAAGGTTTTGTAATCTCTTTTAATTCAGCACTGCACATGCTGTGCAAAGGTGAACTTCCTTGACCAATATTACCAATTACATAAGGCAAAACCAAGCACAGTCAGTGAATCTTCAACGAGTTTCCCCTGTGCTGCTAGCACATCACGTGAAAGCTGTTAAAGGTTTTTATTTTGCTTTCATATTCAGAAAAAGGGGAACTTCAGGCCAGTACAGGGTTACACTTCCATTTAGCCATTGTTCAGTGTAATGTATATTCATTTTAAAACTCCACGTTCACACTATGGTTTCTGAATTGCTTTCTGCTTCAACCTGGTATTACAGTTCTTAATGTTGTCATGCAGATGATTTTTTAAGTCAAGTGAATTCCAGTGTTATAATGGTAATTACCCAACCTTTCATCATAGCATTTGTGCAAGTAACATACTAGCTATTCCTTCCTGACATTTTTCTGTATATGGAAGTTAATGCAGTGTACCTAGAAAGATGTCTTTGTGAAAACATCTGATCTTACCAAGCACTCCATGGAGATGTAACCTTGTGTCAGCACAGCTTTCAGGGCAAGTATGTGGGCTCCCTGCTGCCCAGGGTTCACCTGTGAATTGCATAGCAAAATCAGGGCCAAAAAGGTCTGCTGAAATAATTTTGCTAACCATTTCAAAATAGAGCTGAGGAGATACAAATGCTCAGATCCTTTCAGAGTCAGGCAGCAGCCAGGGCGGGGAGTGAGTTGTAAAGACGAGCTGTTTGTTTGGGTTGGAAGTGAATGGTTTCGCCTGTGCTGCATGTTGAGTCCTGGCACTGTGATGCTGATGAATTAATCCTGCCGCGGGCAGCTTTGGCAGGACCTTAGCTGGAGGAGTCCTCTGTCCAGTTCAGGGCAGTGCTTTCCAAAACAACACGGCCCATTTGGCTGAGGCCAGAGGCGGGCTGCAGGGAGCCCCGCAGGGCTGAGGAACTGCCTGGTCTGAAGATGCAAAGACAACAGGAAAACAGGAATCTGGCACCGCCACATAACAAGGGGCAGGAAAAATAAGGGGAATAAGACAACTAAGAGGTAGATCCTGTAGAAGTGGACATCTAATAAGCCAACATGAAAATCTTCCCAAAGGAGAAGGCCACTGAGCAGGGGAGCAATGACCGTCACAGGGCTTCTTGAGGGCAGCCCAGCCCGGCACAAGCCAGCCGCTCCTCGCCTCCGCGCGGACGGGATGTGGACCCGGCGAGGACCCCCAGCCACGGCCACGCCGCGAGGGTCACCGGGCTGCGCAAAAGCCGGGCAGCGGTTTCCGGAGCGCGATCCTCGCCGCTCCCCGCCCCGATCGATGCGGCCGCACCGCAGCCGCGGGTCCCCCGTCCGGCGCGGCCGCCCGCTGCCTCCCGGCTGCCAGGCGGGGCCCGGCGCCCCACAGACCCGCGCGGCGGCCCGGCCCGGCGCCGGCCCCTTCCCCGGGCCCGCGCCCGGCTCGGGGGAAGGGGCCCGGCCCTGCGGCCCGCTCCGCGCTCCGCGGCGGGGCCAGGCGCAGCGCCCGGTGCCGGGCCGTGCCGTGCCGGCCGAGCGGGGCGGGGAGGCCCCGCCGCCGGTTCCCCCTGTGCCCGGCGCGTGATTGGCGGCGGCTCCGGAGCTGCCTACCGCCGGCCATGGAGCCTCCCCTCCGGCCCCCGACCCGCTCCGCTTCCTGCTGAGGAGAACACCTGTCCGGAGCGGGGCCGCGGCCGCGCGCAGCGGTGAGTAGCGCCGTTCCGGGCTCGCCGCCGGACCCTTCCCCGCGCCGGCGCCGCCCGACGCCGAGGCCCCGCGGCTGGCCGGGGCCGGACGGCTCGGACGGGGGATGCCGCGGTGCGGCTCCGCGGCCCGGCCCGGCCCCCGCGGCGGGCAGAGGCGAGCGGGCTCGGGCTCGGGCTCGGGCTCGGACTCGGGCTCCGGCTCCCTGCCGGGCCGCGGTGGGCTCCGCGGCTCCGCTCCTCCCGCGGGCTCTGGGTCCCGGCCGCCATCTCGGGCGGGCACGGTCGCAGGGCGCTCTCGGCCAGGCCCGGCCATGGCTTCGCGCTCCCGGCCGTGCCCGGCCCGGGGTCAGGCGACGCGCTCGGCCCTGAGGGCGATTCGAGGGGCTCTGCTGAGTCGTTAGTCGGCACCGCGGCCCGCAAGGCGGGGCTGAGTGCGTCCGAGCCCGGCCGGTGCTTCGCTCTGCGTGGCCTCGGTGCCGAGTTAGGGCTCGGCCTGAGGAGTTGCGGAATTGATGACAAAAGCTCCGTGTGAAATTACTGGTAACGCTGGCCAAACTGTGCCAAGTGGGTGATCGGCCTGCCTGTGTTCTTAAGGTCTGCGAGTTAGCTGTGCTGCACATGGAATTGAAACAATAAATGACTGTATTTCCTCATCAAACAAATAATAATCTCTTGTGTCACCCGGTATGCCAGTATGTATGTCATAAACTTTCCCTGACCAAAAAAAAAAAAAAGTCTGAAATAAAGCTTAGGACATTCTGGAGCTGGCATTCTCTATAGATCCTGCCTGTGGAAGGGAGTTCAACCTAGACAGTCTTTAAGGTCTCTTTCAGCCTAAGCCATTCTGTGATCCTATGATACAGTTTGAGGTCGGTATTTGGAAAAATAGGTACAACTTGAAATGACAGTGTGCTACTGCAGCAGCTGGAGCTGTGATCCTTGGGTTTTCAGACCCTGCATTGATTTAAAAGTAAATTACTCATCACTGACATTAACTGGTTAGCCAAGATTCTTCCAAACTTCCTATCTTTATTTTTAGAACCAGCTAGAAGTTACTGTTTCTTCCAGTTTTGGGTATCTATGCCAGATAGAGAACTTCAGTAGAAACCAAAATATGCAGAAGTCTTTGGGAAAGACTTGGGCCTTGAAAATATTGCAGTCCTCCCCAAATTATAATCAGATTCACTCTACAACCTCCTGTTAAGCTGTATCTGCTGATGAATATACTCTTTGATGTAGAAGTCTGCAACGTTATCTGTAATGTTTACTTGCTAATGGAAGGAACTTGTGTTGATTTAATCCTCGTGAGAGTTGGTAGTTGCTAGTGGATTTGACAGAAGAACCAAGGCAGTTCTTTTAGCTGTGTTCATGCTTAACGTGTTAGTGCTGCATCTTCCCTGCATAGCTCACAACTTCATCGCAGTGTAGGAAGATGAATTTTACTCATCCATCAACTGCAAAGCAGTCTCCAGCTACAAAGCAGTGCTGGCATGTAGATGTAGTGTACTTAGAAACCTTTGGGCTGTGTCATATATGTGGATTTTTTTCTTCATTTATCTTTACAGTTAGCTTTATCTCAGAGCGTCAGTGTAAGTGAATCGTTATTGTATTTGCATAACATTTAATTCTTGCTTGGATAGTGCCTATTTTCCTGTAGATTCACAGTAAAGTGAAAAGACTGATTTATGATGGATTAACTAAAAGCAGAAACTAGTAGAAACATAAGTATAAATGGTAAAGAATAAGCAGTAGTAAAACTCTAACAGTCTTAACCAGGCAGGGAAGTTTGACAGGTGCACTGATTTAGTATTACTATTTGTTATGTTTCAGTCTCTGTTACTGTGAACAGCAGTGGTTCAATTCCCTTCCCTGCCCTACCACCCCTGCAACTGATGAGTCAGATCAAGGAACTGATCCAGCTGAAAATTAACCAATCTTTTCTATTGTTGTTGCAGTCAGTTTGCTGACTTTGCTGAGCAAAGAGGTGGGAACTTAATGGGAGCTGGGAGTGAACCTGTTTGCTTCTTTTAGTTACCCTAAAGGCCCTCCTCCTCCTGTGTTCTGTTGTACCCTCCAGGGTTTGTGGGCTAGTGGTAGGATGCTTCAGTTATTACAAGGATATTGAGACTTGATGAGGGCTCATAAGAATTAAAAAAAAAAAAAAAAAAAAGAGTTAATTTAAATTATTTTTTTTTGTGTTGTTGGAATAGGTATATAGAAACATCCATACTGGAAGTAATGCTTAGGCATGACAAAGGATTTAGGAAGTAATTTTAAAAGATTTTCAGTTCTAAACATAAATCTGTGCCATGGCCACGCATGGATTAGCAGGAAATAGTTACAATTTTGATGTCACCTTAAGTAAGATGGGGACACTTATGTGTTTGTCACTGTACAAACACAGGCTAGAGATGGTCATTGTTCCAAGAACTGACTTCTGAAGCTGTTGGAGCTGGGTTAGAGATGGAGTTGGATTTTTGCACTGGAGTAGACATGGCAGGTTGCAACCCCAAATGAATGTGGAAGGAGAATCTTATATGGTCAACTGCACAGGTGTCACACACTTGGCACTGTATCTGATGCAGTTTGCTGGGGAATATCTGATTCTTTCATACTGCTGCTCTACTGGTAGGTCCTAAAAGAGGATGAAGCTGTCAGTCACTGTAGTTGTGCAGCGTATGGGGTAATTCTCTGCAGCATGAGGTAGAGATGCTTCACTTGGATGTCTTGACAGTGCTGATCGGTGGACTAGTGCTGGAATAACTTATCAGGAGAAGGAATATATGCATATATGTGTTTGGAAAATTTATCCTTAAGTATGTACCACACAATGGCAAAATAGGATGTTTTGAGCAGGCAGAAAACAGTGAAACTGTAATGAGTCTGGGTTTACTTAGTAGGGTCATCACAAAGAGTTTTAGGATGAGAGAGACTTGCAAGAAACATATGCATCCTTTAGGCATGAGAAACCTCCCTGGTAATAGCTTACCATTAAATAAAGAAAAATATATTAAAATCCTGACTATATTATATCTTTTAGGAATTACACTTTAAAATACAGACTTTGGAAGGATGCTGCAAAATCAAGCCCTCAAAATTTAAGGATGAAATCCGTAGTTAAAATTCTTCCCAAATCTTAAGTTGTCATTTCTAGTGGGTTTCACCATGTGTTTGTAACCGTAACTGCATGAGTTAAAAGGATGAGGAGGAGGATTGCCCAATGGTTCTGTTGTTGAGGTTACATGCAAGATCCTTGGAATATACCATCTCTATGTGATGTTTATAGGGAGATTGGCTTAAAAAATCTGTAATTAATGTAAGCTGGGGGTCCTCAAAGTGCTACCACCATGCAAATAAAAATAAGGAAGCATTGCAGATTTAGTTTTCTTTTATCTAGTATTTTTATTCAACTCTTAAAAAGTAGCTAAACTCTTTAAAATATACTCCATCCTCATGCTGATATTAAAAATGTTTTATTTAGATTCATTAGTTTTATTGCCCAAATTATTTTTAGCTGTTTTAGCCTGTGCTAAAGAGAGGCTGTAAGCATGTCTCCTATGCATGTGTGTTAAAATTACACTGCTCCATTGTAAATGTATTTTTACTGTTATGACAGGAAAAGCGCTCTGCCTTTTTTTAAAATGAGCAATCATACGTATAATCAACTTGGTTAAAACTTCCTTCCTGCTAAGTGCAGCACTTCCTTTGCATCTGGATAGGAGGGCGAGCAAGAAAAGCAGAAGAGTTTAACAAAGTATTTTTTGTATGAATGATCTTCCTTTGAAAAATAGGAACTTCAGAAATTAAACAAATGAGTCGTCTTCAGCAATTCAGCCTTTATTTGATAAGCAGGTAATAATTCCTTTTTGTCCATTACAGAAGTGATGTCCACAGTTCGCTTTCCGGGACTTGAAAAAAGAGTTGTAGTTAGCATGTTAGATTGTTTTAGCTTAAAATGTTTTTATCTTCTTGTTCTGTTATCTGCTGAAGTGTCATTACTTCAGTGTGTTTTAGTTTTTCCAATAGTTAGAGAAATATTTTTTTGTTTCTTATGTCGCTGTAAGTCAGTGAAAGAAAACTCAGCGGGCAGCTTGTGCAAGTGCGTCCAGTGTCTTCAGACCTCTTGGTGAATAATTTCCACTTCAACTCATTTCCACTGAACGATGTTAAATTGTGAACAAAATACCAATAAGGTACAGGATAATGAAATGTCATAGAATCATAGAATGGTTTGGGTTGGAAGGGATCTTAAACATCATCTAGTTCCAACTCCCAGCTTAGGAGGTTTTTTATGTCCTCAGCTTAGGAGTTTTTTCTTCTGTAATATAGTCATAGTTTTTATCAGAATGCTTGCTTTTAAAATTGTTGTATGTTATAAGTCTGCTGAGTGGTTTGATTTTAAAAATCACATCTAAAGATACTGGACTTGAATTCAGATGCATGTTAAACGTCTCTCTTAAGAAGCAGGCTTTTGAATTTTAAGGAATGTTTTTTGGTGTAAGTCCTTATTCCTCATCAAGAAAAAGAGAGTTAGAGGAAAATGAATCCGGTCTGAAAATTAATCATTCGTTTTTTCATATTCTGTCATTCCTAGAACTTGGTAGGATAGTATTCTGTTCATATGCTTTACGGTGTCTTTTGATCTCTATGAAAATCCACTTCTGTTAGTACCAACAACATCAAAAAAGAGGAATCGGCGTTTGATTAAAGAGCAAGTCACTGGGGCAAAAATACACTGTCAGACTGCTTATCCTCAGTGAAATCTGGGAAGACTGTTTAAAAGCTCTATTTTAATTATTTAATCATTGGGTTTGGTTTTTTTCCTTATATTTGGTTTTGAATTGAAAAGATTACATCTGGAGTGGTTTATATAAAGCAAGAATTTAAGACCAGAAATTAAGGGGAAGAGGAAATCTAAAAAACATGTAGCAGGATTGTGACTGGTATGTGATTTTAATCATGTATAAGTAAAACATAACTGTAAAGAAAATGTAGATGAGAATGCAATCAAATGTTTTTATGTTTTGTTAGATTCCTTCTGGCATGGAGTTGGGTGACTATGAACAGCCTGTTGTTATGAGAGAAGAAAACAAACGAAGGAGAAGAAGAATGAAACCTCATTGTACATCGAGTAATCTGTCTTCAATGGAACTGATATCCATTGAGTTCATTTTACCTACAAGCAATAAGCATACTAAAGTTCCGGAAATGATGTTACTCGAAATAGCTGGAAACTGTACTGTTGAGCAAATGAAAGCACAAATTTGGATGCGTGCAATAGAGATGAGTCAAACCACAGACTTCTACCATGCGTTCACCCCAGATCAGTTCGTTCTCCAGTATCAGAAGAAGGGACAATGGTATGAAATTTATGATAAACATCAACTATTACAGACATTAGACTGCATATTGTACTGGAAAGTGTTACAGAAGAAAGTAGGCAAGATATATGTAGTCCAGAAACAAAAACCATCAGAAGAAGTTCAGGAATTTCAGCGGCAGCTTAATGATTTAATTGGTTATGATGTTACTGATGTAAGCAACGTGCATGATGATGAACTAGAATTTACCCGACGCAGATTAGTCACTCCACGAATGATAGAAGTAGCCTGTAGAGATCCTAAATTGTATGCAATGCACCCATGGACTACATCTAAGCCACTCCCAGAATATTTGTTCAAAAAGATAACTAATAATAACATTTTCATAATCATACATAGAGGAACGACGAGTCAAAAAATTAAAGTGTCAATAGATGACACTCCAGATATGATTCTCCATAGCTTTTTCACAAAAATGGCAAAGAAAAAATCTTTGATGGATATTCCTGAAGATCATAGTGAACTGGATTTTGTTCTTAGGATCTGTGGCAGAGATGAGTACATTACTGGAGACACACCCATCAAGGATTTTCACTGGATAAGACAATGCCTTAAGAATGGGGAAGAAATCCACCTTGTGTTAGACAACCCCCCTGACCCAAGTGAGGATGAGGTGCAGAAGGAAGAGTGGCCATTGGTAGATGACTGTACAGGAGTTACAGGATATCATGAACAATTGACAATAGATGGAAAAGATCATGAGAGAGTCTTCACTATCTCGTTGTGGGATTGCAATAGGAAATTCAGGGTGAAAATAATTGGTATAGATATCCCAGTTTTACCAAGAAATACTGATCTTACTGTTTTTGTGGAGGCTAACATTCAACATGGGCAACAGCTCCTTTCACAGAGGAGGACTTCCTCAAAGCCTTTTACTGAGGAGGTTCTCTGGAATATTTGGTTGGAGTTTGATATCAAAATCAAGGATTTGCCTAAAGGAGCACTCTTGAATCTTCAGATATACTGTGGTAAAGCACAGGGATTGTCCACAAAGACAAACCTTCAGTCACACGAATCCCCCAACTCTGATTCCAAATGCAAAACTCAACTTCTGTATTACGTGAATCTTTTATTGATAGATCACCGTTTCCTGCTACGAAGTGGGGAGTATGTTCTCCACATGTGGAAAATCCCAGGCAAAGGGGAAGAACAAGGAAGTATCAATGCAGACAAACTCACCTCAGCAACTAATCCGGATAAAGAAAACTCCATGGCTATCTCTATTGTGCTGGACAAATATTGTCACCCAATTGCCTTGCCCAAGCACAGGATGACATCTGACTCTCAGGGGGACAGGACACGAGCTGAAATGCCCAACCAGCTTCGCAAGCAACTTGAAGAGATCATAGCAACTGACCCACTTAATCCACTTTCTCCTGAGGACAAAGAACTGTTGTGGCACTTTAGATATGAAAGCATAAAGCACCCCAAGGCATACCCTAAGCTGCTTAGCTCTGTCAAATGGGGACAACAAGAAATAGTGGCCAAAACATATCAGTTGCTAGCTAAAAAGGAGGCGTGGGATCAAAGCACTTTAGATGTTGGACTCACAATGCAGCTTCTGGACTGTAACTTTTCTGATGAAAATGTACGAGCAATGGCAGTTCAAAAACTGGAAAGTTTAGAAGATGATGATGTTCTTCATTATCTTTTGCAACTTGTGCAGGTAAGGTGTGTTTGTATTTTTGATCTCTGGCTTCTGAGAATAATTACATTACCATATAACCATTCCCATGCCAGCAAACAACCCTCTTTTGAACCCTTCCGATTTTAATCAAAGCATGGTAGTGACTAAACTAACCCAAAATTCATTTTCAACTTTCACCTTCTGTCTGTATCATTATTTTGGTATTACCATTGCCTTGTGCCTTACAGTTTGCATCTTGTGTCTACCACAATGTTGTGTTGTCAACGCTTAACATGGCTGTGGTGGGAGTCAATCCTTACTGTCCTATCTCTAATCCTGTTCTTGTCACGTATGGATGATGCTGTTCGTTACCTTTATGAACACAGAGAAAGAAAGTAAAGGCAGATGTTAACACAGCAAAGGCCCAAATAAAAATCTGGAGTTGGATTTCAGGATCTGGAATGACAGTGCTGTTATATGACGTGTGGCAGCGCTGTCAGTCATGGACTGCTAAGGGGACCAAATTTATCTAGAATGTTCTAAAATAATTAAAAAGCAAATAAAAGTTTGTTATTCATAGATAAAAGTAATTCATTCTGGGAAGTTGAGTTAAAAAAAAGTGTTTTTTTTAATGGAAATGAATCACCACTGTATTTATTTGAAGTGCTTTGTGTGCAGTCTGCCAGATGAAACGTCTGGAAAGTTGGCATCGGTTGCACAAGCAGATCGGTTGGATTGTTTTTCACAAAGTGGGGCTGGAGCTGGGCTGGCTGTTGGTGGCAAAGTGCTATGGCTTCTGAGAGGTGGGACCTGCGGTCTTGCAAGGGCAGCACGTCCCCCAGTGAAGAGGGGCGGCGCTGCGGCTTCCTGGGCCTGGCAGGTCTCTGGGTCGCGTGCAGGGCTGTCAGCCTGCACAGCAGGAAATGCTTTTTTCAAAGAATCAGAGAACAGAATTGGCATTAAAAAACGAAAAACAACCCCACCCATTCCCCCCTTATTCTTCCCCCCCCCAAAAAAAAAAGCAACCTGGGAACTGGTGGGATGGGGCTTTGGATTTCCATGATTTCCATGTGTTCAGAGGGTCCTGGTTGCTGCAAAAACAAAGTTCATTTTTCAGATTTAGCTGCACACTGGCAGTGCTTTAAAGAAACCTTGTTAGCCTTGTCTTCACTTGTCTGAAGATGAGGCTCCCCAGGCAGAATTGGTGTGCTTAGCATTAGCCAAAGGAACCGCCGTGGTTGCTTCCCCAGACCTCCCACGTTGATGGGCTGGATCTGCTTGGCTGCGGCTCTGCAGTCTGCACGCAGCTCAGCAATTTCATTCTCCTCTGAACCTAAATTAGGGCATGGGATGGCCATTGGTCCGTGTCAAAGCGCCTAACAGAAGGGGGGAAATACTCTTTTTAAAATTTCTTTTTGATATTAGTTGCTTTCAGGAGAGAGTTTTAAAGAGAATAAATCACTCTGAAGGTAAATTAAATGAGTGTAGTATAATTTCATAGTAGTTTAATTTCACCATGTCATTTTTAATAAGAAGTTTATCCAGATGTTGAAATACTGTCATCCTCAAAAGGGAAAAAATACTAAGTGCTAGCTTATACCTCTTAGCTGCTTCCTTGGATTCTCTTCCATGGTTAATTGCAGGGCACAAACCTTTGGCACCACACAGCCAAGTATTGACACCGATATTTTCTGAGAATGAATGGATGCTTGGCAGTGCTCTGCTCTAGGAGGACATCATGGATGTCTATCTTGAAAACAGTCATGACTTCTTACATGTGTGCCTTTGTGAAAGCTTTACAGCTTCTTTCCCTGTGCATAGGGTGTTCCCATCCTACATCCCAGTGCAGATGGGAATCGTGTTATTTCCCACTTGGTCTATCCCAAACAGAAGTAGATATGCCATGAATAAATCCACTGAGCATCCGATAAAGGTCTGCAGATCTCTGCAGTAAAATGTGGCAAGGACAGTGAAATCACAGCAAAATCCATTGAAAAACAAATGCCAGTGAAGAAAATCACACTACTTTTATGTGGCATTGTGTCAGTGCCTCCTGTTGGTGAGCTGACCCAGCAAAGGTCCAGGTAGGGAAATACTGTCAGGCTTTTTCTCATGGCTGGCTTTTATTATTCATATTCAAATACTTGTCTCTATGCAGAAAAAAAGAATTGATTTAAAAAAAAAAATAATTATTTCCAAGACACAAGCATAATAAGGACAGTCATAAAACTTTTTTTTTAGTATCTCTTATGTTGAAATTTACATTTACAACTTTAAGGTAAGGAAGTTTTATTTTGAAGTGGTGGCCAGGCCTTTGGCTCTGTTTCATTCTGAAGTTGTTTTTCAGGTATGTGCATGGAGAACATTCAGCAGGATGTATACCAGAATAAGGTCTTCATAGCCTTCCTTGTAAGCAAATCTGTTTGAATGTATGCAATCGTCATTGCATTTGGGTTCCTTATGGCAGTGAAAATAAATTTTTATTAAAAAACATCATACAATACCTCGTCATCTCACACGTGAAGTAAAAGTTCTATATATTTTACAATCAATTTAAGTTTGTGAGTTCCTATTATCTTTCCTAAGTAAGATGCTGTTGTTTGGGTGAATTAAACTATTGGAGAGTTAATGTAGATATTTTATGAATAAAGGTAGAACTGTGTGCTGCAGTATGTTTAGGAGATATTTAATGAATTCAGCGTAGCTATGCTCATGGCTTGGTTGCTTCCTTGCAAGCTGCAGAACACAGAGATCTTGAAAGAGCTGTTGTGCTGCACTGCATAGCTATCCCTGGAGGTTTGTGTACTGTGATGCTTCTGAAAGCTGAGCACTCTGCACACACCAGGCTCTGCACATCCCTTTTGTTTGCCATTAATCTCCCCACTGCCACGTCCTGTTTCCAGAACCTAAAACCACTCACCGATCCCTCTATCCACACAAGGGATTTTGTGACTCTCTTCCAGGGCTTGTTTGCTACTACTTTCTCTTTCCGGGTCTACATGCCTACCTTTCATCCCCTTTATCCTCAGTATGATCCTTCTGTAAGTTTGAGTCCTTCAGTCAACAGAAAAGAAGCAGATGGAGAAAGCACATGGAGGAGTCACCAGGCTACCCCTCACAGATCAGGGCCCAACCCAGAACATGGGTTAGATTGTGTTTTATAGACCCACTCGCTTATTGTGGTGAGGGTGAGAATAACAGAACAAAATTCCTGAGACTTAAAAAAGTTGTTGACTTTGTTTCCACCCCATTTTGGCAGTGTCTTGGCAATATCTGTGGGCATGGTGCAAGGGAGTGGCTGCTGGAAGAGAAAATATCTATCTGTGCTCACAGAGCCATTGAAAAAAGCAGCTCTGCTTAAGTCGTCTTTTTAGCTGTGGACTATCCTATAGAATAGTATTTGTATCTCAGCTTTTCTTCTTTTTTGTGGTTCGCTGGGACTGAGGGCCAGAGTGCCTCAGATGATGGGCACTGATAAGCTGCTTCTCTACTGCTGTGGGAGCTGGGGACCCAGCAGGGAGCCTTTCTTCCCGTCCTGAGGTGCTGCCTGTTGGCAGAAATGGTGTGCTCTTACTGAACGTTTTATTTAGAGAATAGTTACAAATACATTATTTCATTTGGCAGTAATCTTTTCAAGCATTCTCTGTGTCGGTCAGACTGCAGGCTGTTTTCTCATCTTGCTAGGTTTTCCTACAGACTGCTGTGTTGTTTCACTGGCAGTCCAAAACTCAGTCTCACCAGTTAGCTCAGCCCTGCCTTGCTTGTCATAGAATTACAGAATGATTTAGGTTGGAAGGAACCTTAAAGCCACCCCCAACCTGTGCCATGGGCTGGCTGCCCCCCACCAGCTCAGGCTGCCCAGGGCCCCATCCAACCCAGCCCTGAGTGCCTGCAGGGATGGGGCACCCACAGCTCCATAGGCAGCTGTGCCAGGGCCTCACCACCCTCTGAGTAAAGAATTTCCTCCTAACATCTAACCTAAATCGCCTGTCTTTTAGTTTAAAGTTGTTCCCCCTTATTCTATCATTATCCGACTGTAAAAAGTTGACCCTTTCCTGCTTTCAAGCCCCCTTCATGTACTGGAAGGCCCCAGTGATCTCTCCCCCAAGCCTTATCTTCTCCAGGCTAAACAAGCCCAACTCCCTCAGTCTTTTTTCATAGGAGAGGTGCTGCAGCCCTCTGATCATCTTCATGGTCCTCCTCTGGACCCACTCCAACAGCTTCTCATCCTTCCTGTGCTGGGGGCCCCAGGCCTGGATGTGGTACTCAGTATGGGGCCTCATGAGGGCAGAGCAGAGGGGAATAATCACCTCCCTTGCCCTGCTGGCCACAAATTGCTCGCTGCATTGATCTGAAAAGTTGCAGATAAAAGTTGCTTGTTGAATCCTGCAGAGAAGTATTGCTTTGTTTTTTCAACTTTGTTTCCTCAAAAAAAACTGTTTAGTTATGCTCTTTCTTACAGCAGTGTGTTATGTACATGTGATCTGTAAAATGTAAGAGGGCCTTACATATGTTACTAACATGTCTTCTCTGTATTTTCCAGGCTGTGAAATTTGAGCCCTATCATGACAGCGCATTAGCCAGATTTCTGCTGAAACGGGGTTTACGAGTAAGTATTTCAAATACAGCCAACTCATGCTAAATTACTAGCATTATCTCAAGGAATTGTCGTATGTGCTAATTATAATGTCTTTCTTCACCACTAGAACAAACGAATTGGTCACTTCTTGTTTTGGTTTTTAAGAAGTGAGATTGCCCAATCTATGCACTACCAACAGAGGTTCGCTGTGATCCTAGAGGCCTATCTTAGGGGCTGTGGAAAAGCAATGCTGCATGACTTCATGAAACAGGTTCAAGTCATTGAATTGTTGCATAAAGTCACAATGGAGATAAAATCAGTTTCTGCGGAAAAATACGATGTCACTTCTCAAGGTATTTATTAACAGACATTTCTTTGTTTGTAATAGTATTGTTCTTTTCCGTTTAGCTGTGAAATCCAGGCATCAGGTTACCTAAGTTATTTAAAAATCATGGATAGATTACAGATGAAATATTTCCATTCTTTAACTTATCTTCCTAAGCCTCATGCCACACAACTGGAAAGTTAAAATTTTGTACTTAATTCTTAGCTGAATATCAGAACTGAAAAATAGAAGCAACCCAGGACACAAGTATTAACTGGAAGTACAGAGCAAAAAATGGCACTTGCCAAGAAACATAGCCTTACTCCAAGCAGGGCCTGGAACACCCTTGGCAAGGGCAGTGGGGATGAGTTCAGAGCAGTCTCTGCTAGACCACAAGTAGCTGATGGATCAGCCCTGAATATACAGAGCACATCTTTGGTGCTCTGCAGCGCAATGAATAGGAGTCCTGTGAGACACAGATGTGACATTGTTATTTTCAGTTCCTGTAAGCACTGCTTTGGCCCCATGCTAGGGTTATGCAGTGCCTGTTTACCTCTGTATTTTCCTGCTTTTTTTTTTTTTTTTTTCCCTCAAGTGACTTCCTTAAAAGCATTTTTATTAAGATTCCTGTTAGTTGCTCAGATCTGGGACTAAGTGCAAGAGACATGGCAATAATAAATTCTAAAAGCTGTAAAATTTTGTAGAGAGGCATACCAGTTCTTCCTACACTTTCAGACCAGTGTGTTCTAGGCCACAGAGTCCTTGGTTCAAAAGACATTCCTGTTCTGGTTACTGGAAAAGTCTGGCATGATATTTGAGATGCAGCAGTTTTAACAGACCTTGTCTTGGAAAGTAAGGAATCCACTGAGGATCTGACGGCTGTGCTTACTGGCTCTCAGGAGGTATCCTTCAGGGCTGGAGGTTTCCATATTAAAAACATAAATACAGAGCATTCAGTAGTGCCTTTTTATTAAAATTGTTTGTATCAGTTGAAAAACAAATTTATTTGTGATTGCATAAAGTGTAAAGGGAATATGCATTTGTTCTTTGATATACAATATGCTATCATTTACACTACCACTTAGTGTGAACTTTGAGACTCACTGAATGCTTATACAGTATTCTTTCTAAATAGCATTTTAAATGTATCTAAAAGTGCTGTATAATCTAAACAGATTTGGTCAGATCCCATGTTTCTGAGAGGAACTCAGAGCCTTGCAGATGTACACGTCTACAACAGCAGTGGTTTCCTTAACATATTATCTTTGAAGGATCTGTGGAAAAGAAGAAAAGTTTCAAGAGAAAGCAATCACTTTAGCACCCACAGGGTTTTGAAATTAAAGAATCTCTGTATTGAAAAGCAGAACAGTTAAAGAGGTCTTATGTAATTGAAATTTCCACTGAATAAGGATTCCATTTAGACTGTCCTACTAATGATGCATCTAGTTTAACTCATTCTCAGACTACTGAGGATACAACTTTTTCTATAGGCATCCTAAGCTTCTTGAATTTTTAAAAATTTATTTCCCACACTTCCTTTTTTAGTTTATTCCTTCTTTTTCTTCCATATCATTTCTATTCTCCTATTTTTTATATTTTAAGCCTGAATGCTTTAAACAGTTTCATTTCATTCTCTCATGCAGTTGCATCTAATTTTTATATATGTATTTTTTCTTCCTTCAGTGATTGTGGTTTATTTTTTAATAAACTACGTTAAGGCCTGTGGTATTCCAGTAACAGTCATGTCATCAAACTTACATTCACCTTAGTTGTAATCTCTTTCTTTATATTAAAAACATAGCCAGTAATGATAATAAATAAATTCTTAAGAATATAGCAGTACCAGCTAGTATTGGATTGTCTGCTTTCATCACTGTGCTGTTCGATGATTTGTCATCCCTATGTGTGTATGTGCAGCTGTTTGTTCTCTTAACGAAGAAACATTTCTCTTAAAATATGCAGTACTTTGTTCTTAAGCTAGATCAACGTGGAAATTGGTTTAGGAAGTGCTTTGACCTGTGTCAGCTAACACCTAATTTTTACACATTTCAGTTGATCAGTATACAGTTTTCAAATTACATTGTCTGACACTGTGAGAAGACTTACTGAAATCAAGCTAGACTTGTGTAAGGGATCAGTAGTTAAATTTTAGAAGGCTTTTTGTGTGACCTAGGTTATCACAACCTATTTTATTCTTAAGAAAGTTGTCTAAAGTTGTCTAAACTAAGACAGGGGTGGTTTAGGTTGGATATTAGGAGGAAGCTTTCCACACAGAGGGTGGTGACACACTGGAACAGGTTGCCCAAGGAGGCTGTGGATGCCCCATTCCTGCAGGCATTCAAGGCCAGGCTGGATGTGGCTCTGGGCAGCCTGGTCTGGTGGTTGGTGACCCTGCACATAGCAGGGGGGTTGAAACTAGATGATCATTGTGGTCCTTTTCAACCCAGGCCATTCTGTGATTCAGTGATTCTAATTATTTTGTTCACTTACTAGCTCCTGTACTTCACTGGCAGGTTTTAATTAATTTTATATTTTTACCAGATTAGATATCACATCAGTCACCAAATTTTCTTCTTACTGTAATATGAGATTTACAGGGCTGCAAAAAGAAAAATAAGAAATTCAGCATATCTGTGTTTGAATTCCTTATGACAACACTGTACACCGCTGCATGAATTCAAAAGCCACGAATCTGGATAGTAGCAGTGAGATAGGTGAAAATAATATTGGTAAATGCAAGGTACTTTCTGTTTCCGCTTCCTTCCGAGCCTTTGAGGGAAATATTTGAGCATTTCTTTGGCAGTAATAAGGGAAATATACAAATGTATATATACATTTTGTGTTGTGTCATTTTGTTTTTCTTTTTTTAATGAAAGTTGAGTTTTTAATGTAATCTCTTCAACCGTGAAGATGGAGTCTTCTGAGGAATACCAAGCACTGCGTGGTTTTGACGCTGTGTAGAGGGACCACGAGTTGTGAGGTGCTTGAAGACTTTTGGAATCTGAAACAGTCCGTTAATCATGGAAGCTGAAGAGTTTTCCTCCATTCCTCAAAACAGAGTGTCTTCAAGGAATGTACTTTAAAAAGTAGCTAAACAGAGGATTTGTTTTTAGTTAAATCATGAGTTAATAAGTTCCATTAGCTATAATGCTTTTACTTCCAACTTTTGATTTTAGTGTGTTTTCTTGCTTGCAATTGCAGTTATTGCACAGCTTAGACAAAAACTTGAAAAACTACAGGGCAGCAAACTTCCAGAAAGTTTTAGAGTCCCATATGACCCTGGGCTAAGAGCAGGAGCCCTAGTGGTAAGTACATTTTGAGTTTCTACAAATCCTTTTTGAAAAAATTATCCTATCTGCAAGTATGTTTCCTTTGGTAAAAACATCTAAACGCCTTATTTCACTGTGAATGTGATGACATTTCATGGCTTCAAAAAAGTATACTTCCTACTGCTAATGGCATTTTTCTAAGTGAGATGATATGCTACCATGCAGTAAAAAACAAAACAAAACAAAACAAAAAAACACAAAAACAACAACTCTTAAAAAATTCTAATCATTAAGTGTCAGTTAAATTGGAGATTTAACAGGTGGCTGAATTTTATTTACATCAAATGCCTATATAAAACCATTTCAGCAGACTTCAGAGATTTTGGGATGTTCAGTTTTTCTTCTTACTTTCCTTGTCTTGAAAGATGTGTCTGATCTTCAGATGTCCTTAAGGTTTATTTGAGACCTTGGTCTTACTAACACAAACGTTTACCTATTTCTGATTTTTTCAGTATCTCTGCTGATTGTGTTGCTTTTATTAAAAAATACATTAACATTTTGCTGAAATACGTTAAGAAACACCTGTTTCCTCCAGTGCTGTCATGTGATTGTCGAGGTCTGTGCCAATTCCTATGTTTTGCAGTTAAAAACATGATGAATAAATCAGCAGGTGTAATGTGTAATGTGCATTTGCTCTTGAAGCTACTATGCTATGTGAAATTTGTGTAAAGACACACAATGAAAGCTCTTTGGATGCACCTGATGTGCAGCCTACAAGAAAGGAATCCTTTGGTTTTTCTCTTAGCTAAGAACAGATGAACCATCCAGCTTAAGGAACTGCCAGTCAGTAGGGTTCTTGTCTAGGTGACTGATAATTGTTTTCCAAATCCGTCCGTGTTTCTGTTAAATAAGCTCATGCCTTCGTAGACAGCCTGTAGGCCTGTCTGCCTTCAAACTGAAAGAGCTGAACACCTCCCAGCTGAGGACCACAGAGGTACTGTCTGTACAGAAGTCAACTGAAACAATATTTACTCAGAAATACAACATTTCTGATAACTTCAGAAACTTAATTTAAATAATTAAAATTTTTTTTTAGTTTTATACATGTTTAACTTTTAAAATTTATTTTGTTAAGTTTTTGACCCAAAAAACAGACTTCAAAATAAAATATCTTTGAGGCTTTTCTAGTTTTCCTTTACTTAGAAAGTGGGCAGCCCTTCCAAGGCCTTTCTAGGTACATAAACTAACTGGTTTACAAAGAAAAGAAGCTATGTCCAAAATAGATGCAGCTGTTTTGTTTTTTTCTATGAACAGAAATGTTTGATACAACATTTGATATTGGCAAGCTTTAATTTTGTCTTCATTCTAACAAGTGTTACTTGTCCATAAGCTTAAAACAGCCTGAAATTTGAATAGTCTAAACCAGGTATTAGTAGCAAAACCAATGTTTCAAGTAAGTTCAAAGATGTAACAGTTTTTTTCCCCTTTTAATAGAATTAGTGATAAAAGCTGTTTTCTTTTAAACTCAAAGTTCAGAACCTCAGTCTATGAAACATGAATATTCTGAAATACTCTTTCCTGACATTATCACTTCAGTCAGTTCTCAAACACTGGTGTAAATGCTTTTATTATTTTATGTGGTTTTACTGTATGTAATTATTGCAGAATAGGAAGTATTTCATACCACATTTGTACAAGACATAATCAGTTGAGAAAACATTTGAAATAATACAATTTGAATAGTTTCATTGCTGAACTTCACAAGAGCTGAAAAACTAGAAAAACTAAATGAGTGTTTATTCTGTTATTTTATGAATTACTGTGTTAAATTACTTTCACAAATGCCATTTGTACATGAATCTGGCTGCACAATTTTCTAAGGAAATTGAGTAAAATAAAGTAGTCTGTAATAACTGAGGTCTCGAAAAGTCACAAGGGTAGACAATATGGCAAATTGCATTGGATGACTTTCCTGTTTTGCAAAGCATCTCAGAATGTGCTGGGGAGGTTCTATGTTTTCCAGTTATTTCAGAAGCTCTTACTCCTGGCTTAAAAGTTCTTTCTGTCTGAAGCAGATTTACAAGTTAAAATCAGTTGTAGAGAGTTAAGAATATGTTTCGTTTCATCATGGGCAGTGTTAAAAGCTTTGCAGGTTCAGTGAGGTTTTCTCTGGCAATGGAAAACCATCCTTTACATGTGTTTTCAGTGTGTTTCTTGTGGTTTAACTGATTGGAAGTTGGTGAACTAATCTCTAGCTGATGTATAACAAGGTTGGTGTGCTGATGTTGGAGCACAGTGCCTAACAATAAACGTGTCTTTCACAGATAGAAAAATGTAAAGTAATGGCATCCAAGAAGAAGCCCCTCTGGCTTGAGTTTAAATGTGCAGATCCAACTGCTCTATCAAATGAAACCATAGGCATCATCTTTAAACACGGAGATGACCTCCGTCAGGACATGCTTATTTTACAGGTAAGATAGCTTAAATGCTGTATTGTGGGAATAAATTGAATATGTAAATATTTTTAAATTGTTTTACTTTTCAGAGGAGGATGTGCTGTCCACTTAAAATAGGAGCTCTCATTTTGTAAGCTGTATGGCAAGCTGATAACAAAAACAGGATCTTCTTTTTTGTACTACTGTGTTTTAAGTTACTGTTACCTTTTTTTCCTGCCATATTCACACAAACTTAATATTTTGGTGTTCTAGAGAAGAAATCTGTCATTTAGTGCAAGCTGGCTTGTTTGTCTGATGAAGAGTTTTCTTCATTGATCTATGTGATAGGTGAAGTTACAAATGGAAAAAAAAATGATAGATAGCATTGCTGTAGTAATATTTCAGTGATTGCTCTGACAAATGGGGTTGTTAGCATTTGCAGGGATATTTATGGTGGAAAATGGGTGTACTTGCTCATGTGTTCAATCTCAAATCATGTAGAAATAATAGAAAACACTTATTAATACCTTGTAAGCAGTAGAGATTGCCCAGTCACAGGACAGGTTAGGAAAAAAACCCACCCTGATTCTGTAACTGATAATCTTGAGTGGCTGCATACTTTCTGTGTTCTTCTCTTAAGCCACAAAATAGACAAGTAAGTTTAGTCACATGTCAGAAGTCTGTGCAGTGTTATTTGTCTAAGTAATACATAATATCAGAACAATGTAGATTAGATACTGGAAAGAAATCTTTATGCTTAAGATGATGAAGGCACCCTCAGGTGCCAGAGAAGCTGTGGATGTGCTTTCTCTACAGAGGAGGCCAGGTTTGGTGGGGCTCTAGGCAGCCTGATCTAGTGAAAGGTGTCTCTGCTCATGGCAGAGGATTGAAAAGCAATAATCTTTAAGGTCCCTCCCAACCCAATCCATTCTGTGATTCTTTGTTTCTGTGAACTTGTAATAAATTCGTGCATTCCTTTTTGTTTTTACTAGATTCTTCGAATTATGGAATCCATTTGGGAAGCAGAATCCTTGGACCTCTGTTTGCTACCGTATGGCTGTATTTCTACAGGGAACAAAATAGGTATGAGATCACACTTACTGTAAATAGAAATTCAAAAGATTGTAGTTACAGAAGTTGTGTACAGGAGAAATATTCAGTATACTCTGTAGTCCAGAAATCAAAATCACTTTCTTTACCTTTCTGTGAGTAGCCTTCATTTGTCTCTTAGCTGTGGTTTCTGCCCTTCTGATGGATATCCTTATACTGCTAGACTAGCTTAAGTGATTGTGCTTCCTTTGCTAATTCAACTGTTGAATCCAGCTGTAAGCTTCTCTTTAATAACAATATTTGATATGAAAAAGTGGTGAAAGCAAGTGACTTCCTCAATATGTGTTTTAATGTGCTAATAAAGATGAAATAGAGAAAAGAATTAAAATAGAAAAGCATTTGTGTTTTTCCCTGACCTGAAACTCCATAGTCTATACTTCCTAGAAGCAGCAGCATCACTTGATGGGATGTTCAGGCAGTATTTGTCAGTAAGCATAAGTTCATGCAGTGCAGATCTTCTATTTTGTAGAGTTCATAATGGGAGAAGTCAAGGGGTTCCTTATGAAATTTCCTGGAGAACTGTGTCATGGTATGTAGAGCAACCTGATCAGCTTGGGAGAAGTCCACTTACATCCAGAAATACCAAACTGATACATAATGTATACATCCCAATGGCTCCATGACTCACTGTGTTGGATTTGCATGTATTATGCACCCTAGGACATCCACATTGCACAGTTTCCCAGTATTCAGATAATACGGAATTGACTGTCACAGTTAATTATGCTGACCTGTTGTCACACAGATGGCTGGAGGAAAGCCTCCTCACTGCAGAAAAATTGGCTATGCCCAAATTAAGCTTTTGTGCTGAAAAGAATGCTTTGGCTGATATAAACTATCCATCAGTGAGACAGATTAGCAAGTACTGCTCTTCCATTTACTCAGATCTTGAACATCTGTAAAAATCAGCAAGTTTGTTAACACCTGTCATCTGTGTAGCTGGCAGTATGATAGGAACTGCATGGATTGATAAAATCATTACAGTATAAATGCTGCCACTTATGGGAACATGATCTCCAGCTTTTTAGTTGTTTTATTTTTTTGCAGTATATTTTGCTTTACAGACCAAAGAATGATAAACTGAGTCCCAGTAAAATTAAGAATTCTTTTAACTAAGTATTGCAGTGTACTTCCTCTCCAAAACTGCCACGTAACATTTTTATCATTCTTTCTTTTGGCTTCAAGATTTCTCAGGAATGTAGAAAGCCCAGCTTACTGATGCAGTACTTGGAAGTGCAACATATAAGTGTTTCTTTTCTCCTCATATAAGTGTTTTTAAAACTAATGAAATCGTGTTGGTAGAATTCTAATAAAGTCAAAGGAAATGGTCATGATATACCAAAATACAAACTATGCTTAAACTGTAAATATAGGTCATTTTTTAACCTTGTGTTATAACAAATGTAATGCTTTCTTTCTTTTTTTTTTTTTTTTTCTTGTTTAAAATCATAAGGCAGTGTAATATTTTTAAATTAATGGAGGAAGGTGTAGGAATTCTGCCAGTGACCATGGTGTTCTTATAGTCATCTTACAGACTTCAGTATTCTTTCTTAAATTCTTAATGGGCTCTCCATTCTGTGATCTCAAGGAAATAATTGTTTCTTTTTGTACATGCAATGGGGAAGGAGATGTAAGAATTCAGCATCCCCCCAGCACCATGGTAGGGCCATGGTTAATCACATCAACACTTCATTTCTGTGTGGCTTGCTGAAAATACCTGTAAGCCTAAATTAGTAATACCCAACGTGGGACACCTTGAAACACAGCTTATGCTTGTTTGAAACAAAACCAGAGTGGTGACATGCAAATTTTCCTTCACAATATTTTTGATGGTTTTCTTCCAAACTGCTTCTTCCCTCCCTCTTCATATTTTTAAGAACTTGAGACAGTTTATATGTATTTACACAAGGACAATACCCCATCGTACAATGAAAATAGGGAAACAGACAGATGTCCTACAGATTTCCTAACACCTGGATGGTATCCCCTCCTATGTAGATCTTTTTCAGTCTGTTGAAGACATCTGTTTTCAACACAGTTTGCAGTTCTGGAAATGTCCACTGCTGCTGCCAAATAGACCTCAGGAGGAGGAACTTTCTCTACCATGTATCATGGGTGAACAGTCGTACCTTCCTATCTCTCCCGTTGGCATGGCCATATGTTCGTGGTTTCATGAGGCAGTTTTCACTACTTACTGTGCTGGGTTACTGCCAAATGTAAAAAGCTCGAGTTGGCACATAATGTAAAAGTCACCTGCCTCAGTACCGCAGCTCCCCGGTAACAGGCAGCACTGTGCTTTTGCTGCTTTCTGCTCAGATGAATGCAGCTTAGTTGAGATCTGTCCCAGTTACTGAAGCCTTCTCTAGGACTAACCATACCTACTGAGAGGCGTGTCTATTTAAAAGGATCTGCTGGGAGAGATATGCTATCCACATAGCTGGAATATTTGCTTAGGCAGAATAAGCTGCACAACATTCTGTCTAGGTTTTGTACTGCTGTTTTAGCTCTACAGCAGAGAATGATCAGTAAGTGGTTGTCATTAGCATCCGCTCTAAAATCTGTAGACTTTTCACACTGCTAAACTACAAAACTATTCTGGGAGAACTTGAAAATGCAAAGAGAAGCAAAAGATGTCTCCTGTAACAGCTCTGCTCCCCCAGAATCAAGAAGCTGTTCACCAGCAGAGGGAGATTTGTGAGCACAGACAGGAGAAACCTTTTCAACAGCTGGAATGTGATCTGGAGCTCACTCCTGAGAGACAAACAACAGCCCAACAAACACAAACCAAAGGACTATTCAATTTGGTGGTGGTTTTCAGAGGTTGTATTTCCACAATAGTGTTGTTATGGGCTCTGACTGGCTTCAGCTTGGAGTGGGTAAGAGCCAGTGTTGCTTGTAAAATAAGTGGATGCTCACAAGCTATTGAAATTATGCAGAAGGTTTAAAAAGCACAGTTTAAAATATTATTTTGTGTATTTTATATGCTTTGATATAAATTTAATATAAATTCTAGTTTTTTCTTTGTTTTCTGTTAGGAATGATTGAAATTGTGAAAGATGCTACAACAATTGCCAAAATTCAGCAGAGTACAGTTGGCAACACTGGTGCATTTAAAGATGAAATACTGAACCAGTGGCTCAAGGACAGATGTGTCATTGAGGAGAAGGTGAGTTCTTTGAGTTCTCCTCCCCTAAAGTGGGATGGGGGCTTGGATCAGGAGGAGGGGAGAAATGTAAAACTCATGGGTGGAAAAAAGACAGGTTAATAGAAAAGAAAAAAGAAAAGAAAAAAAGCATCAAAAAAGACTACACAAAACAAGTAATGTACAGTGCTATTGCTCACCACCAGCTGAGCAATGCCCAGCCAGTCTCCAAGCAATAAAAGCCCTCGCCAGCTAACTCCCTAGGTTTTATGGTTAAGCATGATGCCATACGGTATGGTACATTTCTTTGGCTAGTCTGGATCACCTGTCCTGCTTCTGTCCCCACCCAACTTCTTATTGGGCCATTGATAGAGGAGTGTGAGAGGTCAAAAAATCTTTGACTTACTGCTCAGCACTGCTCAGCACCAACTAAAATATCCATGTGTTATTGACATTATTCTCATCCTAAATCCAAAACAGCACCATACCAACTACTACAAAGTAGATAAATCTACCCTAGCTAAAACCAGGGCACAGTTTTTGAATGCAGTCTAGTAATTGAGAAGCATAGTGTCCATAGTTGTGTTTACAGTTGTGTTATTCACAAGTTTGAAAAATCCATTCATTTCCCTGCACTCAGCTGTTAATGCCTGTGGAAGAGTCTTCTGCATCCAGCTGGCAGCCAGGCTTCTGAGTTACAAAATGCTTTAGAAATGATTCGTTTGTCAGTGGTATATAGAAGTGATACACGAGGAGCAGATTGAAAGGACATGTAGGAACACTGAGAGGCACTGTGGTTTTACAGGATTGAAGTACAGATTTGGGTACTCATAACTCCTTTGCTTAGGTTCAGTGACCTGTTTGAGCTTTATTTTCTCAGAAAGTGTGGACTACTATGTGCTAATTTTATTTGGCCTAGAGAGTACAGCCTGTTCTCACAGCACAGTGCAGTGCAGGGCTGTGATCTTTATCTCTGCTGTGCAACAGTGTACTTTATAAGACAGTTTGTTTGACTTTTGCTTGATACACATCAACAGAAAGGCATATTAATTTGGGAATGACTGAAGGAACATTTCTAACACTGAAGCATTTAACATCTCTAAAATTATTTTTAGTTTCAGGCAGCTGTGGAAAGGTTTGTTTATTCCTGTGCTGGCTACTGTGTGGCAACCTTTGTTCTTGGAATAGGAGACAGACACAATGATAACATTATGATCACAGAAACAGGTGAGTCTGGGTTTTTGGGGGGAATAAGAAGAGGGGACTATCTACACCTCACTAGGTTTATGTTTTGATCTAATAAGTAATGCATATAACAATGAATGAAGGTAAAGAATCAGTTCTGTCACCATTACTTTCAAATTCAGATACTTCTATGATATTGAAACCTATCATTACCCTTTTTGGGCCTTCATATAAGATCTAGATGTTTATTTGATGGAGTGACAGCATCAGTGGACAAAGGAATGACAGTTGATGTTGTCTACCTTGACTTGTGCAAGGCCTTCGACCTGGTCCTGTGCCACACCTTTATCTCTAAATTGTAGAGATACACAGCTTGGAAGGCCAACAGTATTCTGGACTGCATCAAAAGAGCCAGCAGGGCACAGGAGATGGTTGTTCCCTTCTACTTGTGAGGCCCCACCTGGAGTACTGTGTCCAGGCCTGGGGCTCCCAGCACAGGAGGGACATGGAGCTGTTGGAGCAGGTCCAGAGGAGGACCATGAAGATTAGAGGGCTGCAGTACCTCTCCTGTGAAAAACGGCTGAGGGAGTTGGGCTTGTTTAGCTAGCTAGGAGAAGAGAAGGCTCCATGAGACCTCATTGTGTGGCCTTCCTGTGCTTAAATGCAGCTTAAAAGTAGGAGGGGAACAGACTTTTTACAGTTGGATAGTGATTAGACAAGGGGGAATGGCTTTAAACTAAAAGAGTGGGAATTTAGAAAGAAATTATTTACTCAGAGGGTGATGAAGCCCTGGCACAGCTTCCCACAGAGCTGTGGGTGCCCCATCCCTGCAGGCACTCAGGGCCAGGTTGGATGGGGCCCTGGGCAGCCTGAGCTGGTGGGGGGCAGCCAGCCCATGGCAGGGGTTGGGGATGGGGGGCTTTAAGGTCTCCTCCAACCTAAGCCATTCCATGTTAATAATGCTGTTGTTTTCCAACAGTGAGTTTGTTACAAACTAAGTAATATGGCTTTGCAAAACAAATGTTTATGTCTAGATCTAAGATCTAAAGGTCAAAAGGTTTTAAAAGTAGACAGATACTCACTTGTCTGGAGGGTGAAAGGAGGGGTTGTGAGTGGGATTGTGTGTGCTATCAGAATTAAAATGTTATTGGACTGTGATTGCTTCAAAGGAACATAACTGTGTTATGTACCTTTGTAGAAAATCCTAGAAAATAAGTGAATATGGACTGTGGTGTTTTGTTACTGAGGTCTGTGGAATGGTGTGTCATGGAACAAGAGTGCCAGCAGTTCAAACATGAGCATACTAAATGACATGTAAACAATTTAAACATGAGATATTAAAGCATGGAACTAAGCATACTTGTCAGATTGTCACGGGCATTGCACCTTTAATGTTTAATCTCACCTGCTGATGAGCCAGAAGAAGCTGCCAACCTCTTGTGTTCTCTGTCACACCATTGTTTGTCTCCTTTGCTGGGAAGCTCTTCTGTGCCAGCCAATGAGAGCTACCTCAAAATTGAGTTGCTCAGCTACCCTGTAAGGGTGGCTGCATGTGGTTACCTGACCGACTGGCTAATGCAAGAGCACCAGATGTGTTTCTGGAAGGTTGCTGGTCTTTGTATAGTGAGCTATTGTCTACTGAACATTCTATCCATGTTCTTTAGGAGGGTGTTGTCTAGAACGTGCACAGGTCACTTAATGGGTCAGTGCAACCGGGTCGGCTGTGAATAGTCCATTGAAATCCTTAAGGACCAATGTGTGATAAATCAGATTTCTTTGTAGAAGTTGGCTATGTGGATGTGTTACATGAGCATGCTATTGTCCTTTTGCCATGCCTGAGGAAACAAACTTCTCCCCACATGGCTGCATGCCTCCTGAAAGAACCTAAATTTTTTTGTATTGCAAACTTTGGGATTACTTCTTTATGGACATCCCAGGAAAAACCCCAGATTGAGCTGTACATATGAAGGCATTCTATCTGGCCTGACAAATTCAGTTCCAGTTTCATGAGCTCGTTACTTCCTAATTTGTCTTTATATAATGCAAAGAGACAGAAAATACTTCTGGTTTTAGTCAGAAGACCATATATTTAACATTAATCATATTGTAGTTAAAGTTTTACCAGCTGAAGGCTGGAGATAGGAAGTACCCTGAAGGCAGAAATGAGCTAATTGAAGACTACAATTTAAAAAAAAAAAAAAAAAAAAAAAAAAGTTCACCAGAAATCCTTGTGGAAAAGAAGACAAAGAAATGCTTTAATATTAATGCTTTCAATATTAATATATAAATTAATACTATATATATTATGTATTAGCAGAAAGTGTGTGATAGGTCAGTAGAAAGGGAGACAGTAAAGGAAATGATATTTGTTTATAGACAGGAGCAGATTAGCCAGAGTTTAACAGGAGCTGTCTGGAACAGCAGAAGGGAGAAGGAGGTGACTGGGAGGTCTGCAGAATATGTCAGCACTGGAATAAGCTGTGAGGACTCAAAAGCTGGCTGAAATGCTGGCACCTGTAAGGATGATACACCTCAGGATTGCTATTAAGTAACATCCTACGTTATTTGATATTTTGTCTTCTTGTATGTATATGCCATTATTACAAATGCATGTTTTTAAGTGAACATACTCTTTTATCCTTACATCTTGTTTGCCAATGAAACTAAGAAAGCAATCTAAAGAGGAGTGGGTCACTCCAGTCCTATAGGTGTAGCATTCCTTAAAAGTGAAGTTTTTCATCACTTTCCCAGGACCTGATACTATACTTGCAATCTCAAAGTTATCCATAGAGTGGGAAACTTATTCCACTGCAGGAGGATATATAAACTGGTAATGCAGGTATGTGAGGAAGAAGCATGTTCTAGTTCCAGAGTTGCTGAAAATTAGTGCCGTAATTGACAAACTTTTCCCACGTAGTGATGTGCTGGGATCTGATTGTTATGAATTGGAGGCACAAGCTTTCCTCACTTCGTGATTGAAAAGCTGTGAGTGTATGTTTAGAAAACATAGTGGGCCTACCTGGTTTTAACAACTGTCAAAGACAAAAAATGATTTCACTAAGAGAACACAATTATGTATTAAAAATTAAAAAAAAATATAGAGAGAGAATATAGTCTTTTTCTGCTGAACTATAGAGTCATAGTTCAGACCTACAAATGATTTTGGAAATACAGTAAATGCATATGAGTGTTCTTGGCAGTTTATTGCATTTGAGCCTAACTGTAACTTCTTTTTATAAAGGTAACCTTTTTCATATTGATTTTGGCCATATTCTTGGGAATTATAAAAGCTTCCTTGGAATTAATAAGGAAAGAGTTCCTTTTGTGCTGACTCCGGATTTTCTGTTTGTCATGGGGACCTCCGGAAAGAAGACAAGTCTCCATTTCCACAAATTTCAGGTAAAGTGAATATTTAACTGTAAATGAATTAAGTGGCATTTTTTGCCCTCTGAAATGAGCATTAGTGCCTTAGACTTCCAAGCTCTGTGCTCCTGGGTATTGCATTAATATAATTTACTGAGTCATAATACATTTCTGGGTTATTTTAGCTCTAAAAACGAACACTGTCTGCAGGATTAGGAGAACTAGGATGCAAACAGCCATGAAGCCACACTGAAGAGCTTCAGCTAGCTGCAGTCAGGCAGGCAGTCTGTTTCTTGTTTACACTGAAAATACTTTGTAAGGGACAGTGTCTGTGAAGCAGAGAGACAGTGTTAAGCAGAGTATTCTGTGCAGTACAAGTCAGTGTTCCTCAGCTGGCTGTGCCACTGTTACTTCCTCCTGATTCTGCCCTCTTATCCTAAGGCTGGGCCTCCTTTGTCTTTGGACAAAGCTTTATAGTGATCTTAGACTGTTACGATTCTGATTTTGTAAATTAGATGGACTGAACTCAGAAAGAGAACAGTGCTAAAAATCTATTCTGTTGCAGTTTGTGCAATTTTAAGTGAGCTCCTCCAAAACTAGTTGTGGTTTTGTAATCTTGTCACAAGGAGAGCAAAGCAAAATGCTGTTTAGTATGTTTAATGAAATGTCTGAACAAAGGTAAAGAGATGTCTGGGCTGGTGTTCCTGCACACATCATTAGGAACTTTAAATATGTGCCTGATTCGAAAGGAGGTTCTCTGTGTTACCTGAAGTCTCCTCCAGAGTGTGAGTCAGAGCAGCAGCCTGACTTTGGTACTCAGGATTCCCTTTGGATGAACCATTCCCTCTGCCCTACCTGCTACAGAGTCTGCTTTTCAACACTGAGTACCTGTGGGGTAGTGAGCACGTCCCAATGAACATACATGTGATTGTTCAGCAAATAACCAGGCAAGTGTTATTCTCGAGCCCAGGCTTCTGAAAATAACTATAAGCTACCAGGTGCCATTTTTGAGTCTTTCTTTTGCACAAGGACTAGCTTTGGAAGCAGGGAATGCTGAGCCCATGCTCTAAAAGAAGTCCATCAGCTGTACTTCATACAAGAAGGGTGGCACTGCTCAGCCATCAGCCACGTGCAGGTGTGGGGCTGGGACACCCATCTAGGCTACGTCAGTTTGTAGAACACCTCAATTCTGGAAACAGGAAATAGTTAAAAATATGAAAGTTTGCTGGTGGAGAACTGGAAGACTGGCAAATTCTTAGCATCTGTCATGAGGAGATGTTGCGTTCATATATATAGATCTTCCAGGTCTTCAGAGAATGTATGACCTTTACTTCAGCAGTCCAAATGCTTAAGTAACAGGAGGTGATTTTGGTCTGAGCTTCTTTTCAGTAAGCCCTCATCATACAGAGCAATCCTGGCTTCATCTGAATGTGTTTGTTTTTCTACTGCAGTACAAATTTCTAAACTAAATACTGCTACCATCCCACTGGTGCAGAAATGCCATGACAGTGCCAGTGTCAGTTCCATTAGTGTCATTAACCAGAGGAACAGTGCTTAACATGCTGTGCCGTTGTGAACAGTGACCATGACACATAACCTGCTCATCTGATGTGGGATGATGTGGGCACAGACAAACAATAATATGGGCTGAAAAAATGTAAGTGTACAGTTCTGCTGTGTTACGTACTGTATGCAACCTGCTATACTGTACTGGTAATGCCTTAAAGGATTTAAAAAGAAAGTTGAAAGCAAAATACTTTTGTACAAGTAAAATGGTGACACAGAGCAAGATACGCATCTCCTATCTGGCTGTAAAAAAGTGTGTTTTAATTATATTTTCAGATAACAAATGTAAACAAAATGAAAGCCTTGCTTTCCAACCAGCAGGTTGTGTCATGTTCCCAAATAGCGAGGGGTTTGTTCAGTGTGCCTGCTGACTCATGCAAGCAGTAATGGAAAAGTCTCAGCATTTATCCATCATTAATTTTTAAGAGCATCACTCATTAATTTGTACTTCAGTTACATTAAATATGTTGTACTTTAGAAGAATGCTTTGTTTACACAGGCCTCAGTCTCCTTGATATTCTAAAATATCCATGGGTTTGTCTGGCTTTATGTCCTGTCACCTGTTGTCCCTACAGATGTGTCAGCCACAGCTCCTACTGCAGGTGTAACTACACAGCTGACTTTCAGGCCCCCTGCAGCAGCATACAGCAATTAGGTGCTGGTACTGCTGCACTGTTAAAGCTGGCAGTAGTGTGACAATCAAGCTTGCTTCTCTTAGCTCTTACTCCACATTTTGCTTCCCTTTTTGCTCTTTTCACAATGGTTTAAAAGAAAATTAGATGCCAGAGGCTACTAATGAAATGACAGAAATGTTTAGTAGAAAACATTATTTGATAAGCATGATTTAATCTGAGATGACAATTATTTCTCTGTCCCATCTGTGATTTTTTCAGCTGCCTCAGTACTGTTCAGATTTCTCTTGCTGTGAGTGTCAAACATGGTGGCGTTTCCTTTCCAGCTTTGGCTGAAGCCCATGCCACTCTTTTACTCCTACGTATGTTCAACTTTTTCATGTCTTACATGTAGGAACCCTTCAGAGAGCCTTATTGTAGATCTCCCTAGTCTTTAGAGCTTTTTCCACCAAGCTATTATTATGTGTAGTTAGCCTAAATTTCTCTTTACTGCTTTTGCCATTGAATTATTTTTTATTCATTCTCTCATTTATTTCATTCATTCATTTTTTGTTACTTTACCCTACAGACTTGATGTTACAGGGATCTGTGGTTTTAGTACTGATCTAATCATTTCTTCTGGTTGTGCCACTTGCTAACAAAATCCCATGTATTTGATTGTCAGACAAAGGTGACAGAAGGAAGAAGGATGTACACTTCATCACTGAAAAGTGATCTACAGGAAAGAGAAGGCCTGTATAACAAAACTTGGGCACTCCATGTTGTACAAACACTTGACCCTTAGGAAACTAATACAGTTTCAAGCTTCCAGAATAACTCACTGTTGTCACATGGACAATATGGGGGAGGTTTCTCCTCAGCTCCTCTCATTTGGCCTGTGGCTTTGATTAGTTAACAGCTTTCTTCTTAATCCCACAGTGTGCACGTAGCCCTGACACGCACTTGTGTCACTTTTGGTTCCCTCTGCCTTTCTCAGAAGTACAGAAATGACTTTTCCTGGGAGATGTTAATTCCAAACTCCATTCAGCTTCTGCCTGCATAAATAACTGTAACAAGGAGGTGCAGATGTTTTAAATCCTTTGAATTCTTTCGAGGACAGCGATGCCAGTTTCTTGACTGCATAATTGTTTTTCTGTCTCAGACACCTTCAGCAGTGAGATGTATCATCCACAAAGAAATGCAAAACCTCCTTTGATACGACTATAAAGAGCTTTCATCTCTTTCAAGAGAAACAAAAACCACACTAACTCTTGTGACAAGATTTCCCTGTTTGAAGTCGATATATATAAGTAGAATTTTTTTTTCTTGGTGTCATGAAGTGAAACTAATCCCTGTGAAAAGTTGATTGTGTTTTCTATTGTAAACTGTGCTTTGGCCATTGCAATTCATCTTCTGCTTTGCCAGAGCTGAACTGACATTAAAGTTCTCATCTTATTTCAGGACAGGATTTATTAGGAAATGTAAGGGGCCCAAGCAATAGGGGAAAAAATGAGAAAAAAAACCCCTATGGACAGATGTTCAAAATATCATCTTTCTTCCTTGTGTTTTCCTGACCTGTCTGCTCGTTTGTGTGACGTCGCTGGTGTGAGCAGTGATAGATGTTAAGGTTATTGGTGCCATTCTTACTGTTTCTGAGGAAAAAAAAAATATCCACTGTGTCAGAAATAACCAGAGTTCTACAGAGCTAATGAGATTTGTTAGAAAGGTATATGAAAGTACTTGAATTGCATAGGACTTTTAAAATTAGTTCAATAAAGGTTAATCTGAATCTTTATTTGGGTAAAAATCAGTGTTGCTTCAGCTTAGGTTTTAATAGCAACAACCTGCTTGGAATTATTTCTCATCTCTTCCCATTACCGCATTGCAGGCCTAATTTAACTTCCTCATTTTGATTTCTAACGTTTGATTGCTTTTCCTTAAAATGTTATTTTAAAAAATAAATGAGTAATGAATTCAATGTAAGAAATAATCATTCCGATTTATGGATTAGTCACTTATCATTAACCATTCTTTCCAAAGGTATTTTCTGTTTTTCTAAGCTGCAGAAATTTAATCCTTCTGAAGTTTATGCTGCTAAGCACAAATTACTTATATATGGAAGTGAAAAAAAACAATAAAAAACCCAATAATCCCTTGAATCCAGTAGGACAGTACATAACCGTGGCAGTCCTAAAGCGAGGCAGCACGCCTGGGTTTGAAGCAGAGCTGTCAGCTGGAGAGATGTGACAGAACACCACGCCTGGAGAGCCATCCCCATTAAACAAGCCGTCACCTCCGCAGCTTTTAAAGGCATCCACGTAAAATGAAGAATTGAGCCCTGGAGGTGCTGCTTTATTCAGAGTCACTTGCTATCCCATGGTCTTTAAATGGAAACATACCAGTTGTGAAGAAAGACGATGAATTACTGCTGCCTTTTTAACAGTCTCAGCAAGGGATTACATGACAGGGAAATTAATTTGAAATTCTGGTGAAGCTGAGGTTTTGAGCTTTAACAACTAATATCATATTATTTAAAAGAGCCTTTAGTTTGTGCACCAAAGCAGGACTTGTTGCCCTGAGGTGCGCTCACCAACGACGTGGCAACGGATGCAGATGTGAGCGTAATGTTTCTGCTTGGATGAGCAGCTCTCTGGGGTCTCCTCTCCCTGACACACCGCTGACTGAGCGGTGTTGGTTGGTGGCAGTAGTTCATACCCAAGTTCCCGTGAAGTTGCTAAACCATCCCTTGCCGTGCACCTCATCATTTAACAGAAAATCCTTCTCTTTTGTAGGATGTGTGTGTGAAGGCTTATTTAGCTCTCCGACATCACACCAACCTGCTCATCATCCTGTTCTCCATGATGCTAATGACCGGAATGCCCCAGTTAACCAGCAAAGAGGATATTGAATATATCCGGGATGCACTGACAGTAGGGAAAAGCGAAGAAGATGCTAAAAAGCATTTCCTTGATCAGATCGAGGTTTGCAGAGATAAGGGCTGGACTGTGCAATTTAACTGGTTCTTACATCTTGTGCTTGGAATCAAGCAAGGAGTAGAAAAGCATTCTGCTTAACATTTGGTGTAAACTATCTGTAGGTGTGAATAGGAAGTTAGTGGATGTACTTGTTATTTATGCATTCCAAATACATGAGCAGTCAGTACTGCCTTTACCTCACTGCAGCTTCTAAAAAGGCTTTTTTTTTTTTGTCTGCCTCCCCAGAAGAGCTTTCTTGCAGTTAAGATATATATATTTTTAATGGCTAATGATGCTTCCAGTAGCCGGACTGTCAAATAGCTGCTTTGCTGATGTGGCCTGCAATTTTCTTCTTTCCTTTCGTAATAATGAAGGAGGAGCTTGGGTCAGATGATAACCTGCAATCTCAGATAGAAATTTTCAGCGGCATTGCCTTAATTGTTCATGGGAATCCAGGCTTCAAATGGGGAAAAGAAGAGTCTGTTTAAAATTGATGGTAATATTAAAATCCCTGCAGGAAATTTATTTCTTTATCAGGATGGCTTTTACTCAAGTGTTCTTCACCCACATCACTTCCCTTTGTCCCACTGTATTCTTGTTCTGATTTTTAATATATGTCAGTAGAAAACAACCTTGACTCCACTGCCAAAAGAAATTGCTTTATTATTATTGTGGCCTCCTGACATACATAGCTCAACTTGATTGTTGCTGTAAGAAAGCTTCGTAGTTCCCTAGAAGCTCCTCTGGTTTGAACCTGAAATTCTTAAGGTTTAATTTTGGATTTTTTTACTGTTTTGTTTTGTTTTTTAAATGGGAAGTTCCATATTATATTACAGATTACATTCTTATTGTAAATTTACTGAAATTCCACCTGTATGGTAAAAGCTTTGTAGAAAAATCAATGGTACTTCCTTATTCCTCAGAGAAAGCTCCTCACGTAAAAGTAATTGACATTTTACCAAATATTTGAGAAACCCAAAGTTATTTATTCTTTGGAGAGATATTTTTGGGAGATACCCAGAAGGAATTAAATTTAATCTTTGAAATTGTGTATATTTTGCTATTTATTTTTAAATTCTTTAAGAGACTATACTACTGAAAAGCTATTTATGAAAGAAAAGAAATAATTTCAATATTTAAAGCTAAGAGAGGAAAAAATGATCACTGTTAAGTAGAATTGTAACTTCTCTGCTGTAGGATACCTGCAAATCACCTAGACTGCCTAAGGTAGGAATAACTATATGTCATGAATTAGTCTTTGACTCCAGTTGTTACCATGTACTTCCTGCTGATTGATTCTTACCAAAGAGAGAAGATGGCTTACAGTATTGCTTTTTTGCACTCGTGCCCATGTAATTTCTTCTTCCATTGTAATTTTACATGGGTTTTACTTTACATTTAAATGATGAACTGAATTTTGTAATTCTGTTACCATTTGCTTTGATTGTTTCACAGAACTGTTTTTAACTACTGCTACCACTGTTACTACTGAGCTTATCCTGGAAGGATTTGTACTAAATGTACTGTAATTGGTGTCTCTGTTATGAGATAGAGCCAATCTATTTTTGAAATATAGATGTTTAATTGATTCCCATGCACAGTGATGTTTTTGATGTGTACGATAGACTGAGTTAAGAAAACCTGAAAAGGTAAAATGTAGAATAATTTGTTGTTCTCTTACATTACCATTCTGTGCAAGATAGGCTTAAAACTGTACTAAAATACAAAGTAAATGGTGAATGCTGTCTGTAAAACGATATTTTTAGATTTGTATTTTGTAGATCTGAAATAAATTGATTGATATGTTCTATTCACTTGATTTTTCCTTCATGAATAAGCTTTTTCCCAAAGTTTTAAAGACTGCAGTCTCAGTAAGAGATCATAAGTAAATCTACTGCTATATTTGAATGCAGCATAGGGAAATAAATGCTAACCACAAGTTGAAACGAATGGCATTCCTAAAGCAGCCTTTGTATGTAGATGGATGTCTGTGATGAACCCACAGCCAGAGGAGAACTGCTCAGTCCCACACTAAGCTGTGACAGATCATTTTTGTGGAGTTTACAGTGTGCTGCATTGAGTTGTATACAATGTTTGTTACAGACTTCTGCAGCAGCTCCGTGCTGAGCTCATTAGCAGATGTTTCCAGGGCTCTCTGTGCCTGCTGCTGGGCTGCCTGGGCAGTGCTGGGCATCCCTCTGTGTGTAGTGATAGGACAGGGAGCAACAGCCTGAAACTTGAACAGAGCACATTCCATACAAGCATGCAGAAGAACTTTACAGTAAGGGTAACGGAGCACAGGAACAGGTGGCTCAGAGAAGGCTGCAGAGTCTCCTTCTATGGAGATATTCAGGACTCAGCTGGATGCCCACCTGTGCAACCTATTGTAGGGAACTTGCTTTGGCAGGGGGTTGGACTCAATGATCTCTTGAGGTCCATTCCAACACCTACAATTCTGTGATTCTGTGACTTCATAGAGTATGAACAGCTGCTGTATCCCCTTGTTAACTACAGAACAAGCTGTCTGCTGGCCAACACTTTGTGAATAAATAGCTGTGCACCCATACTGCTGGTTGTCTGTCTGCTGCTATGTGTCAGTGTGCAGCTGGGTGCCACTTGGGGCACCCCAGGCCTGGAAGGGTGCAGCTTCAGGACAGCTGTCACTGCCACCACAGAGAGTTGGGCACCATTTGCAGAGTTGAGGCCTACAGTCTTCCAGTGCTGGAACATGCTCTAAATAGACCAACCCTTCAAAACAGCTTTTTCATATGGGCTACAAAGCAGGAAATGGAAATTAGTCACTAACCACGTATTTCACAGGCTCTAACTCAGCATGCAGGGAGATGAAATTAGTAATGTTTCTGAGTAGGTCTCAATTATCATCCGTTTCTGCTGGGATACCAAAGATTTTTTTAATTATTTTTGAAGTTACTTTTAAGGTCTAGGGTTTTTTGTTTTTTGGTTTTTTTTTATTTCAACATTACATTTTCTCAGCAGACCAAATTCATGTCATTACTGTGCCAAGCAGTAGCAGTTTGGATCTATTCTTAACATCAGTGCTTTGAACTCGGCTGTGACTTCATCACCACTTTGGCTCCAGCCTGATCATAAAGGTGGTGGTTGGTGAGAAGCGATTCTCCAAGGCTCTGGCCTGCATATGCTCCAGGACACAAAGAGAAGCTGGGAAGGACATAAAGGTGTACAGTGTTCTATTTAGGTCACACTGAACACAGTGGTTGCACTTGTTTGTGGTGTTTAGCAGAATATTCAGCTTTATTTAACATAAAACTTCCTGCACAAAGTGTCTGATGATACAGAAATACAGATGAGAACAACTGACTCGATTAAAATGTGAATGGAAGTTATTACTGTTGTAGGGCATTTTTCACGATAAACCTTCCTTACTGTCAGCTGACACCGTTATGCAAATCCACAGGAGTGCTCCCAGAGATCATGTAAATCACAAGCTCTGTGCCAGTGAGTTTCTTACTCTTTGAAACGGAGTCTTGAAATTAAGAAATTTTTGAAGAGAAGATCTTGGACACCAAAATGTTGTCAAGGGCCAGCAGGCCTTTTGAGCATCCCAGTAACACTGAAGTACCTGGAAAACATTGATGTAGTTCATGTGTCTTCTTGGCTGTAGAGGTCCAGAAGTCAACTGTCCTCTGGCACCAGCATCACACCACGCTCAGCCATCTGTGTTTTGGCCAGAAAATGTACTTATGTATTTTAAAATTTTGTGGCTGGTTGAAAGAAAGTAAGATTGATGCTAGAGAAAAGAAGGCGGTTTGTCTGCAGTTACACCAGTAAGTAAGGACTGATGCAAAGATACGAATGGCTGTCAGCACATTGGCTTCTTGCATCACTACAGCGGTAGAGGCACTGGTGACCGGTCCCAGCATAATGCAGGAAGGCAGCAGTCAGAAAGACACAGCTTTTCATAGCTTTTGACAACAGAACATTTTGAAAATGTGATGTCCTGAATGTTAATGCTGAGCAGGCGGGCACTTGACAGGAAAACCTTGTCCCTTCCTACCCTTGGGAATGGGTTTTGTCACATTAGGGCTTGCAGTTTTGACACCACCAGAGCCCCCCTTGGGCTGGGGAAAGAGAAGGAGGCAGTGCTGAGACACAGGTGTGCCGCCTCTCAGGTGATCTCCTGGGGATGTGAAAGAAGAGGTTGTCACTTTGGAAACAGCAGCAGCACGCTGCCAGGAGCACATGCTGGTTAATTTTAGATAACAAAAGGAACCTGTGTATGGCAGCAGTGCTATATCGAGTATGAGCACATCCCACACCTCACCGCGAGCTCCCTGGTATTTGGCACCGCAAGTCACAGTTTGCAAATGCCAGTCATGCTCTCCACACTGCCGTCCAATGAGCAGAGCTTTCTGCTGTTCGGATGTGTGAAGAAACATTGGAGAGGCAACCTGTACATAGCAGCACTGCTTGGAAAGGTAAACACTGAGTAGAGACAGAGAGAATGTAAAATCTGATGTAATGGAGAATAACCAGGCAAGACTTCTGAAAGGAGAGAGAAAAACAAAGAGATGTGTTAATGGCCCACAGTGCAGAATAGTCTTAAGACCATAGCTCAGACTTTGATCCTTCTTTGCCTTTGAATGTATCTCCTTTTATCTAACCACCCTGCAGAAGGCTCCCAGGGCTCCAGACGTTTTGTGACGTGGGAAATCTCATGCCACAGCACCATTTCTTGGTACAAAGATCACTAACAATTCAAGATAGGGCTAAATTTTGCTAGGAATATTTCCTGTTAAATTACCTGGGACTAAAAAAAATAAAATAAGTAGAAACTGTCAGCCTTGTGTTTTTATGCCAATCAACATCAGGTGTTTGGGATCAGATTAAGCCCTTCACATGGGGACGTTATTTCCCAGTAGGATGGAAATGCATGCTGGGTGCAGAATGGCAGCTCCTTTGCTTCTGTCCGGTGTCTGCACCAAAGCAATTCCCTGGGCTAAGCAGATCCCCAGCCCCAGTGCTCTCCTCCAGCCAAAGGGATTCTTCATTTTGATGAAGTTCATGACATCTCTGTTTTACAAACTTCTTCCTTTCCCACAGATTATGACATATTTTCCAAACCACACAAAACACTGTTTCTGACTGCCTCAAGAGAAAAATACCTGGAAATCTCAAGAACTTAAAGGAATCTAAAACCAAAACACTGAAGCAAAGGCCTTTCTGTTCAAAGTGATGCCTCACGCAGAGGCACGCAACTGTTCTTCAGGTACCAGCAGGCCTTATGTCCTAGGGAGGTGTTAATTAGTGAAACGTTCATTTTTCAGAGGAACTTCTCTGGGAATCCATCGCTGTAATGGCATTGTAATGGTGAGGAGACCCAAAGGTCCTGTGGAGATGGAAGGCAGCTCCATGGGGTGGCCATTGGGCGCAGCTGCACCTTTCCAGCCAGTGGGACCCCAAGAACCCCAGGCAAATCAGGGGGAAAGTACATTTAGAAGCCAAGGTTTAAGTCAATGGGCTCCAAGTGTCAGATGAGCTGTGTTCTCTGGGTCTCTGCGTGTAGCACTGAGAGCCAGACCAGTGCCGTTCTATGATGCTCTGCACCAGTCTCAGCTTTTCTCCTTTGATAAAGAAAAGAACTTTCTCACAAAGCAGACCTTTATTACTGGTGTTATCGGCACTATCCAATGAGAATAAATGCAGTTTGTAAAATATGAAACTACATTTGCTTTTTCTCAGTATATAAAGCTGTAACAGAAACAGTTATTCCCTCTGCTGCTCCATATCTTCTCCTTAGTTCTCAGCTCCATTTCTTGTTGGTTTTGCTTGGAGCTCTAAAACTAAAGCCAGAAGATTCGCCTGCAGGAATCATGAAACACCCAGAGGAACAGCAGCAGGAGAACTGAGTGCCAGCAGTGCAGGTAACTGCACCAGCAGCACCTGTCCCATTGCAAACCTGCTAAAAATTCTCTTGGCTCTGAATCTCTTTAGAAAAGGAATCTGACAGCAAAACAAATCAGGAAAATCTGACAGTGTGTCTTCAAAGGGCAAAGCACCAGCAGACCAAGCTTTCCCTGATGTAATGCACCATGTTCACCCTCCTGAGTGTTGCATCAACAGGCTCAAGGTGAGCTCTATAGTAAATACACATTTGACTGGAAAATCTTCATGCTGTCACTGCAGTTCTAACAAACAAACCAGGCAAACAAGAGGAACTCGGCAGAAAACAACAAAAAAAGGTCTTTTTTTGGATGATTAAGACTTGAAGAGAGTAACAATGTGGGACCACCACAGGGTGGTAATGCTACCCAAAACTCACCAGCAGAGTTAGTGGCGTCAGTGCCTGGACCCACAGAGAGGCAAGGTGGCTGCTTTCTGCCCGCTGGTAAATTGACTTCAAAGAGCTCCCTGTGGTATGTTGTCTTCACAAGAAAGAGGCCAACAAAAGGATACAAGGAAAAGGCTTTGCCATAATCACAATATCCTCGTTTACAACGGCATCAAAGCTAAAGCACATGAGGTATCTGTCAGTGTTACTTACAGGATCAAGAGAATACAGCTTGAAACTGAATCATAAGAAAGCAATTAAAAGCACAATTTTCTCAAAAAGACGTGGAAACAACAGCTCGGATAGGAACCGACTGCCAGGAGTTGCTTAAATACAGCAAATAATAAATAATTCACAGCAAAAAACACATAGTTCACAGCAAAACCTCCGGAAACATAACACTCAAAGACATGTAAGTAGCACTAGAAGCAGACAAGCTGCCAGCATCACTTAGAAGAGCACTGATACGGGCAGAAGCTCCACGAGAGCAGCCAGGGACA